ATGTGCAGAAAGAGTTCAGGACTCGTGGACACAGAGTGCAAGTGGGTCCTCACTTGTGTACCCGTTGAGGGGAGCCTTGCTGAGCTGTGGTTTTCCCTCTGTAGATGCAGATCCGTTTATAAATTCTGCGTTAAAGAGACATCTGATAAAATGCACAAGCCCTGTTTGAAGCAGAGTGCAGTAGCACTGCTTCAGAGGAAATTACGAGTGCATCTGTTGCAATTCTGTTTCTATCATGTCTCACTTTCTAGATGAATATGCATGTCTCTAGCAGGGATGAGTACTGATCTTCACAGTCTGAAGGAATGAGCTAGTCATCAGAGATAGCACTTGAATGCGTACATCTTGAAAGCAGATTTCAGCCAATACCTAAATAGGTATGTAAGTCAAAAAAAAAAAAAGGATTTCCTCTCCTTAGCATAATTATCGCCATTAGTTCTTTTACTTGTACGTGTGCATTGTGCGTAGGCACCACACTAAATCTGCATTGTCACATCCTACTGAAGCAGAAGTGGATATGAAAAAGTACTCTCCCATTTAAGCCTTCCAGAAGTAACAGGTTTTACACTAATGAAAAATTTAGCACCCTCACTATGGAAGCCTAGATAGGCATAATGATTTTTCTCCATCTTGTATACTCCGAGTTTGTCATTATTGTGGTTTATAGTGTATTCACATGTTCACACAATATGGAAAGTGATTGTGTATTCATTTGCGCAAGAAAATACCTGCACCTCTGAGACTTGCTTAAACTGCAGTCAGCTGCACCCCATATCACTGGAAGTGTGTTTCTGGGATCAGCGATAAACTTTGCTGGAACCAGTGTTGTTAGACTTAGGATCTTGGGATAGTAAGGGCTCTGCGTATCAGAAGTGCCTCAGTCAGAAGATCCTGTCTCTGCTGTCTGCCCAGAAACAGCAGCTTTTTAACACTGGGATAGTAAGATAGTAGTTACCTTAATCGTGTTTTGCTCTCTTGTTTACAAGTCTTGTCAAAAGAGTGATTTTGAAAAAGAAAATGTAATGGCATTTAGAGAATCTGTCTGCTGTAGGCTAACAATCAGTATGCATACTAGAAGTATATACTTGCAGCCAATCTGTGCTAATTTAAACAACATATCAAATATGCTTGAAATCATTGACAAACAAAAATAACCCTGAAGGTTGTTTTGAATCAACATTTTTAAAAAGGTAAAATTTTGAGGATCAAAAGTCCATCTGGAACAGTATCCTGGCTCCAACAGAGGGAAGAATTACAGGTCTATCAAAGAGTAAAAATAGGGCAAATGTATAGGCTCTTTTCCTGAGCTAGTGCTCTCCCAGCTTCCAGGTATTTTCAGCTGTATGTATTTATGTACTAAGTAACTGCCGGTGGTTTTCTTCCTCAGTTTTGTCCTGTTTCTCCTTAAACTTCGATGAGCTTTTACATACTGCAGTATCATTTGCCAAGGAGCTCAACAGTGTAAAAAAACAACTATTTCATTTTATTTACTCTGAATTTGATCCTGCTAGATTCATTTGACGATTCAGAATTCTTCTTTTAAATGAAAGACTGTGTTTAATCAATCCCTGCATACTCTAGTGATGTTTTTATCTGCTCTATACCCTCTAAGGTGCCTGTTTTCTAGATTGAGAAGTCCTAGTTTTGCTGAGTCATTTCTTGCACAGACTTCATATTACACTCTCAATGGTATATTTTTACTTTTAAATATATGCTGTCTGTGTTTACACTTATATTTTAGTATTTTTTTGCTTTAATGCTTGTTGTTCTAATTTAAAATTAATTTTAAATACATGTAGTCTTTAGGTATATTTAAATTTATTGAATTTAAAAAAAATCTTACAGTTTAAGCATCACTGCTCAGTGCATAAGCTGTCTTAATTAAGGTTTTAAAATATACATTCGTTTATTGACAATCTGTACAGGTGTTGGTAAGGAATTTTGGGGTGTGCATTTGTTTTTATTTAAACTAATGGCTGTCTCTTCATATGCAACTGATACCCAAAACATTGGCATGATCTGGAGTTGCAAAACTGGTAAATGGCTAATCTAACTTTCTCAGCTGCCTATTTTTATACAGATTTCTCATTAAACCTTGACTTCTCTGTGATCTTCCCACACCTGTCAGACTCCTCTTAGATTGACCAAAGCCTTGCAGAACAGACAGTGGCCTTAGCCGCGTGAAATGCGCTCACAGGGTCTGGTTGCCATCTTGTGTCTCCATCCAGCTGCCTGGAGACAATTACGTTACAAAGGTTTCCTCTTTCTGACCAGGTCTTCAGACAGCCTTGAAGTTGGAAAATGGAAAATGTTAATAAATTGAAACCCACAGGACTGTTTGAGCTTAAGGATGAGCTGTCGGACACAACCAAGAGCCTTTTGTGCGCTCTTTCGTTATGTGTAAAGACACAATGATCGCATTTATGCATGAGTACAGACAGGTTGCTCTGCTTCTGTGTTGCACGCAGGCATCTTCGTCCCTATAGTATCTCAGATGTTTCATGGTTTTATGCTAGAAAAGGTCTTTTACTTTCAGACTTGTGTCTCTCCAATTTGTAGATTTTTGGCATAAGAAATTGCACTAATTCTGTAGGACTTTGTTAACTGAATAATAGCCTAAAAAACTAATTTAAATCAGACCTCCCATCTGCTGTTAATCTCATTACTGTAATTACTGTTTGTGTTTTGTGTTCATAAAATCAAACCCTGAAGCCCCGTGTAAAGTTGCGTCCGACATACAGGTCAGGAACCGATGACAGGGAGCTCAGAGCTGGGACAGAGCATCCCTCCAGCCTCCCATTTCAGAAAGGGTCAGAGCTGTTTGGATAATGGCTTAGCGTGCTGCATGGTATGCTAAAAGATGCCAGCACTAGGAATTTTTTTTAATCATCAGCCTGTTTTCAGCCGGAAAAAATGTCAGTAATGAACAAATGACAGTTTAGAGGAATTACTGAATAATTAAAGACTTAAAGAGTGGATAGCCTAAATACTAAACATCTCTACTGTTCTTAGAACTGTTTAGTAAGCTGGACCTAGAACTGCTGTGCACTATTACATTAGCTTCATAGTCCACGATAGATTTGTGTAACTAAGTATGACAATGTTGACGACTTGAAGGAAATCAAGTTTCTTTTTAAGATTTCAATGGAAAGACAAATACAAATATCTAAATGAAGTAATGGAAGACATAGCATGAGGGTGAAACAGCAAAGTCTCTTTCTAGCTAACATGATAAAGCCATTCTGTTTTTCTGGAAAGCTTCTGAAATTCCAGAGGAAGTGAAAACAGTAAATTGAAAGTAATGATTATGTGTTATTAATGGTAAATTGGAGGTGATAAAAAGAGTTATTTGGAGAACAGCTTCACCTGGAGTCTATTACCTAAGGATTTACGCTTGATAAAGTATAGCAACTTTTCATGCTATAATATTTCATGTTTTTTTCCTTTTTTAATTATATTTTATATTGCATAAAGTGCATCTTCCAAAATAGAGGAACAAATAATTGATAGGATGCAGTCACTGAAAATTGACTATTGTCTACCCCTTCCTTTGACTGTTTGTTTTGTGCTGTTTTTTGTTATATGGTTTTGATTTTAGTGCATTTCTTAAAGTCTTAAGACACCTAAGCTGATTAAAATGACACTGCATTTCAAGGAACCTAGGAAAGACATGTCAAAATTAACTGAAATAGAATTTGGAGTATTCTGTAGTGTTATTTGTAAAACTATAGACAAGATTTTCAAGAGAATATATGCTCTCAAATATCAAGTAACCACATTTTTCTAAGGCATCCAGAATGTCTCATAGAGGTAGCAGCTCTGTGTTCCAAATCTTTTAAAATACAAGTTGTATTCTTTTGCAAATCTCATCTTTGCTGTGAGTGCTGAAACTCTGGAAAATCTGATTGAGTCTGAGAATGTTGTCTATTATATTAATAGGTGAAATGTAACATATCATACTAATAAAAGTGACCAAAATTTAATATATTCTGTTCTGACCTGCCTCTGGCTGTTATTCTTGATATGGAGGGTAGATGCTGTGGTCCGTTCTGCGCGGAGGCTGAGAACCTGTGAAAGTCTATAAGGCTGTTCATGTAATCCTAGTCAGGTTGTTAAGCATCCTTATTCCTTAACTTCATGCAGGTCAAATATTTATATTAATGTGATAGAGACTATCACATAAAGACAGACCTTTATGTATTCTGACATATGCAAAGTGTGTATCCCTGTTGTTAATCCATACAGAATACTCATCTTGCTTTCAAGGTCACGCTGTGCGGTTAGAACAGTCATGACATGTTCTAGTTGATGGATGTATCTGGTAATTAATTTTTAATTACTTTAGATTTTTTTTTTCATAGGTTGATGATTCCAGTTGCGACGCTGAAATACTTTCTTTGCTTCTCAATGCCAAGTTAGTGGTGAAGTGCGTATCTACTGCCTTCTATCCTCGCCTTATCGACCACTTACTGGCTAACCAGGGAGAAGGAGGCTGGGATGTGGAGGAAATAGCAAAACAACTTAAAGAAGCAGGGTTCAACGCAGAGGCCGGGTCCCTCCTGATGTCTCACCGAGGTACTCATCCTGCACTCAGGACTTTTACTACTGCCCTCCAGGCTATCCAGCATTGGATCTAAAAATGTTGGATTTATGCATCTGTCTGCCTTTTTGCTGGAGACCTTACACAAAAGGGAAAAATTGTTCTAGTGAAGTAACAAAGTTAGTTATTACCTACATTTTGTAGAAAATACAAACAGCACACTTACAGTGAATTCCCATATACTTCTAACTGTTTAAAAAAACCATTGGTGCGGACCGTATGAATCTGTTGTATCACTAGCAAGGCATTGAATTTAATAATCCCTTTCAGATCAAAGTGTTAAAAGGTTACACTCTGTGAAGTATAAATGAAACATAGTAAGCTGGCAGGTTATATACAATTTGTCTTAATTTCTGTAAGTAATTTACTCTTGTCATAATGTAAAACTAATGTAAAAATATAATTATAAAGATATATGGAGCAAAATAAAAATCACAATGAAGAATAATTTCTGAAAATTTCAAAACCTTAAAATCTGGTATTGTGCAATGTTGTTACCACAGCTTTCGTTTGCAATAAGTAAAATATTTTGCATTTATTGTAGTCTCTTTTTTCCTTATTTTAGACAGATAAGAAAAATATTTTCTTTCCTCAGCCACTTTTTCTGAAACTCCTGTCTCTCCTCAGTCAGATTTATTCATAAGGACAAGGTGAACTTTTCTGTGCTTGCAGATAGTTCTCGTCTTTGAGGTATTTTTCTCTGCAATTTGGGAAGCCCCATCTCAAATCCTAAACATTTATTGATACTTTTTGTGAATGCACTTTCAAAGTATTTTACTTGTATTTTTCCTGAGTTCTGAAAAATTAAATATGTGTGATTATTTCCAAATGCCTTTCTGTATTAAGGCAAAGTATTTCTCATTGTTTTCTGAGATACTTTAACAAGGAGACTGTCTGTTTATTACACTGCATTACCAGAAGGTTTTGATGTTTCCATATATTTATAGGAATTTGTTGTTAAAATTAATCTGTAAATCTTCTGCCTAATCTTGTGTTTAGATGTAATTTTGATTAAATAATGTGCAGAAACATTACACATGATAAGATCGTAGGATAATACAGGTTTGAAGCGATCTGTAGAGATAATGTAGTCCAACCTCCTCCTCAGGGAAGAGTTACTTTAATGTTGGAGCAGGTTCCTCAGGGCTGTATTCAGTTGGGTCTTGAAAACCTCCAAGGATGGGTGTCCCACTACTTGACTGTGCCCGTGTTGAAAAGCTTTTTACCTGTATCTTCTTGTTTGAACCTGTCTCATTGCGGCTTCTGCCAGGTGTCTCTCATCCTTCCACCATGCATGCTGTGAAGAGCCTGGCTCCATTGTCTTAATAACCTTCTTGTATGTTTTGGGTCCTCCATAGCCTTCTCTTCTCAAAAGAAACAAAATGCAGAATAAGAAGAAAAAAAATTCTAGTGTGGCAATTGCAGTTCCTAGGTGAGTTAGCTGGCTGTACCCATGCCTACAGTGTAGACACTGGTGATGGATTGCATTAACACTGGTAATAGTCAAAATTTGGCAACAGAGGGATCCAGTTCAGGTGCAGTTGTTCTGTGCTTCAGTAATAACGCTCTTATCTGAGCTTTCTGCTATTTGGGATAGCCAGCCCCTTTATTATGCAATATAGTAACAAGCTGACTATTACTGAAACAGTAGTTTCTAAAAATCCTTTTTTCTAAATGTCAGCCTGAATCATAAAGAAAGAAGAAGAGCGGGTTAAAAGCTCGAAGTAGGTATTTCATTACAAATCTGTATTACTGAGTTCTTTCCTGGACGTCAGGATTTAGAAATGGGTGATGGCATTTGCGGAACAAAACCTGACTCTTATTAGCATCGTCTTTGACTTGGGATCTGCTTTGTTTTATCGGCTTTTACTGACTGAAAATTGCTCAGATGTTAGCCTTACTTCCCACCTTACTTAGGATTTTTAACAAGATTTTTAACGATGCTTTAATTCTGTAGATTGTTAACTTATTTTTTGTGCTTGCTAGTCACAGCTGCCCTTCAGTATTTTACAGGAGGTTATCTCATTCATGTGTCTAACATACTAATCAAATTCAAATTTATATCATTCAGCTATGTTGCCTTAATTCTGTTCTTTTATGTTAGTAGTCCATGAACCCCAGACTAGTAAAGCAAAGTATATTGGAATTGCAGAGAAAAGAAAGGAAAAATTTAGAAAAGGTAATGTAACTGGAAATCAGTAGATGCAGGCAAGCCACAAGGCATATCTCCAACAAGAAAAACTTGGATTATTCTGTAGAAGATATTTCTATACTTTACGATGGAGCATTTTGATCTGTCTGCATGTTTTGTTCTCAGGTTAGTAAGTCCAGTGTAGATTTTCTGAACATTCTCATTCAGGATCATGAAAAGTTTTTGTGTTTAGTGTCACTTTAGAGCTGAGCTGTATGTAAAGCTCTAATGAATGTTATTGATCTTCTAGCCATTTTCTGTTTTGCTGGCCCATGGTGAATGTTTTCTTTGCAGCCAGGACTACTCCTGATTTATTCTATATTCAGAGCTTTCATCTGTAAGAAACAGTTTTAGTATATACATCCAAAATGATCAGCCTATATTAGTGTATGTTCCAAATAAAATTTAAGAAAGAAAACAACTCTGAGAGGCACATAACAAGGATATATGTATCCCAGCGCCAGCCTTTTAGTATCTTCTGTATGGTAGAATAACATTTGGGGCTCTGGGAGTGACCAAGATATGCTAGCAAATGCTATTATGTTGGGTTTGGATTTGATTTTGGTTTGTTTTCTTTTTAAAGGGGAAGAAACTCACATTGGTATCATTAATAGTACTTAATAAGACACTGAACTGGCACTTGAGACAGTTCAGGTCTGTCATTTTGTTTATATGCAATTGGGATCTGTTCAGAAAACAGCATGAGCTGACTTTTTTTTTAACCAAAACAAGTCCATGCTCTGGAGGCGCTTGTGCTCCCAAAAGTCGGTGAATGAAGAGTTCAGTTGTGTCTCCAGGAGCAATGCTTCCTAGGGCAATTAATCCTCTTGGGCCTGGAAAACACTGATAGTATTTGCATCTTTGAGGAGTTATTTGTTCCCTGGTAGATGCACCAAAGTAGCAAAATATATCACCTTTCTTTTGGATAAGTAGAACCAGAGATTAGGGAAGAAAGATCATTACTCACAATTTCTTTCTCTGCTGGAAATCGTAAGTGGAGACAGTACGTCATTGCAACAGATGCAGGGTAGACGCTTTTGTATTTACAGAATCACAGAACCGTTTGGGTTGGAAGGGACCTTCAAGATCATCTAGTTCCAACCCCCCTGCCATGAGCAGGAACACCCTCCACTAGACCATGTTGCCCAAAGCCCCATCCAACCTGGCCTTGAACACTTCCAGGGATGGGACATCCACAGCTTCTCTGGGCAACCTGTTCCAGTGCCTCACCACCCTCACAGTAAAGAATTTCTTCCTAATATCTAATCTAAATCTCCCCTCCTTCAGCTTAAGGCCATTACCCCTCATCCTATCCTATATACAAACAAAACAGTGCCGTTCAATGAGTGGGGTGTGCTACGTATGATTCAGATGTTTTCCTTGTATAATAATTTTTTCTGGGATTTACTATTTTTGACATCCTGCACTGTGAAAAGACAGTTTGAGAGGATGGCCATAGAATATGGCTACTTTCATCATAGGAGTAAGAATTCCTACACTTGCAAAAACATAATCATTTTTCAAGTTTGTTTTATTTACCTCTGCTTTCCCTTCAAAACCCAGCAAACTGGGCAAGTATTCTGTGTAAGGTCAGATTTCACAAACCAGTATGCAGTCACTGTGCCTCTATTACCTACAAAACAATGGGTGCTAGGTGAAACCTTGGGCCATTTGCTCCTGAGAATGATGGTGGGTTACCACCCAGACAGCTCTTCTCCCAAAGAATGTGTTGTTTATGCAGAAGCACAGGATGACAGCGGACCACATGGGAACTGAAGATTTTTACCTTTCATCTGTCAGCAGGTGAGTACTAAACAAGAAAGATCTAGCTGGAGAGCAAATCAAGGGCAGGGCAACATCAAAACAGCCACAGCAATTGAAGTAAGTGAAAAAAGAGGCCTAGACAAGGATTTTGCTAGGGGTATATTTCACTGCATAACACACAGCAAGTAACATCTAACACCTTGCTGGTTTATCATACTGACTGATGACAGACAAAGATTCTGAAGAAAGGGAATGAACACAAAAACTGGAAGTGTTCCACCTTCAGAAAGGATTTATTATTGTAGTATTGTCCACCTTGTCTGCCACCTTTCCTACTGAAAAATTTCCAGGTTCCTCAATTCTAGTATTTTGAAAAGAGAGTATGCATTTTCAGTAAAGCCAAGACTTGTCTCACTTCCAAGGTTGTATGACTTGATCTGTATGCCCAACTTGTCTATCAGAAGAGCCACCTCCATTATTTATGTGTTTTCATCTTCCATTTGTTTCAAATGATGTCCCTACTTGTTATATCAGAAAAAAAAACCCATGGAAAACTAAATCACTGTTCACTCTTTCTGTTTTTATGGCCTTCTAATATACTCGGTCTTTGTTGTGCTTTTTCCAGCCTGTTGAGTCCTGGTGTACTTAGTTATTTCTCTGTACCCTTTGGTCATCCTCTTTATGTCTGTATCTTTTTTAGTTTTTCGAGACGTGGAATGGAGGAGCAGAGCCATGCCTTGTATCAAATGTTGCAGATACCCCGAAAGTTCATTTAATGTCATAGAAATGTTTTTCAATTTCATTCTTTAACTGTTACTGAGCACTTGAGGTAGTGTTTGCGTAGGATTATTTGGTTTGACCCTGAGCTCTCTTTCCACATTGGTAAGTCATGTGAGATTACATTACTTTATACAGTTTTACAATTTATTTTAAGGTTACTTTTCTCATGTACCTCATCATAGTTACAGACTGAGATCTAGTCATGAGCTGATCACCCAGACAGTACTTTTCATGAAGACTTCCAACAGTTTTTCATCCAGCCCTCCTCCTTACTCAAAAACTTATCTTCATCAGCACTCTTTGACACCTTTACTATTAGTCCCCTTTTGTAGAGAGAGAAAATAGTAAACTTGAGTCTCTTTAGCAACTGTCTGCACTTGAAAACAGCTAGCTCATTTTGCCAAAGATGAGGTACGTACATAAAAACAGAAAGTAGGTAAAGGTCCTATGGATG